AGCCCTGGATATCGCAAGGAGACTACAGCACACACAGTGCATCGACCTGGTAAGAACTATTTAAATGTACTTTACGTTTTCTTTTGTAGAACACACACATAGTGAGAACTTAGATTATACCAGTTGCCACATTACAATACCTGCTAGAAAGAAAGAAAAAACACAAGACAACTTCCTCTGCTTGAAATTAGACCTTAAAACAATTCCCTTTTCAACAAAGCTGGGCTGAGGACTCAGTCCCAGGACAAGGAACCTAAGCCTCTTCAGGTCCCACTGAGCATCATTTATGAACTGGTTTTATTTTCCTACCGGCCATCTGCCCTGCTGACTCAGCCCTGCTCTGTGTAATATCCTGTTTGACTCTGTACATCCGTGTTTGGGAGGCTTTGATTATCTCATCTTTGTCTCCTTTTGTTCATTTGAGGTTATTATTTAACCAGGAAGCTGCATTTAGTTGTGTGTTTCCTGATCAACTCTTTTCTCATGAGGACATGTGATATTATTTGTAAAGTTCTAATTTGATTTGTTACTAGCAGAGACAAAAGTTTGCATGAATCCCCAAAAGCAAACTCCAAGAAAGACGTTTAAAACAAAACCAGGATAGATCTGCTTAATAGAGACCAAACACTTTGATACAAATTCTGAACTTGTTGTGTTGTTTTAGCTGGAGCTGGCCCACAGTGGGAAGTTTAACACTCAAATCCATGTGGAGTACATATGGGAGACTCAGTCCCAGGAGTTCTATGACAGTGAGGACGACCTGGACGAGAGGGTAAACAACTCATACTTACAAAGACAAGTCTGCAGAGCTCTCGTAGTTAAGGACCATTCTATTTTGTACAATGAAACCAGAAGTTAAACATTACTGCCATTCACATCTTCCACATGACGTCAATCAAGCCACGGAAAAATGTATGTCTTTCCCCTTAGAACCAGGTTTTGTTCGCTAGACAATGGTTTCCTCAAATAGTCAGTCACGACAACACAAATGTTAAAAAATAGATGCATAAAAAAATAGTATTTTCACACACACACACACACACACGTGCCTGGCCAAACCTATACAGTTGTAGGTTTGGCCAGACTCAAAGTATCAGTATCAAGTTCCTTTGCCAAAACAGGATGATAAAAACTTTGCTAAAGAATGCTGAAGGGGATTTCCACCATTGTTTAACAACAGGGAAAAACGCTTCTTAGACAGATGTGGTCTTGTCAGATAAACATGATTTACTTTGACTTTGGTTTAGAAGCTTTAATAATATATATATAAATAAAACACCCTATTCATGTTAAAACCTCCACAAAAATAAAACCTTTTGTAAACTATCAAATAGTAAACATTTTACGAAATTTACCAAAATGACAACTAATTAATGGCCATTATCTCTATTTGAGAACACTGTTTTCTCTAATAATATCTAATAATATAACTTTGTTTTTACACAAAATGATTAACTAACGAAAATGAAAATAACTGTTAGTTAAAAGACTAAATACAATAATGTTTAATCACTAATGAGCTGTTTTAGTGTTCTTTTAGGAAGTTTTTAGGGGTTTAAATGGAATTAATTAAAATTCTCATGGACATTTGGTAAAATAAAGTTGAAGACATATTAGTGGAAACATTACCCATTTACCCTGGATTGGAAAAGAAATGTTTGTTCTGTGATTTCCACTCTGTTCAATGTTAAATTAAATGTTGTTAATTAAAGTTTGAACGTCCGTGAACGTGTGCGTCACGGACTTGGTTTCAGGACCGTTACACAACCTATAATAACGAAAAGAAACGTGAATTCGACTACTTACTGTTGCACTTGATTCCAGGTGAGTCCTTTACCCAAGACCCGCTCTCCGCTGACCTCTAATGGCAGCAGCGGCTCTTCGATTGCTCGTTGGAGTTCGGCTAATGCTAATGCTAACGCAGGCAGCAGGCCATGCCAGACCTATGAGAACCTGGAGTTCCTGTACGGAAACCCACCTGCCAACAGCGCCCCCGCTGGCGCTTCACGGCCACCACCACTGCCAGCTAAATCTATCCAGAGAGGGAAATCGCTGTGTATGTGTACTTTTAATACCTTAAATAATATTGCTATAATACATTGTGCTGTATGTTTTAATAATTTAACATGTTAGATTTAACATGATAGATTTTTTTTAAAAGTTTGATGATTAATTTACAATAACAATTGCAACTACCCTTATTGTTACAGTAGTTTTTAAAATGTGTTTACTTAACAGAGAAACGTGAATGTTTTAAATTTCACATAAATGTACAGATTAAAGAAACAGCTACAATGTTCAGAAGGAAAAGTATTCTAAAACATGTAGGTGACTTAAAAAGTAGTAAAAGTCGTAGAAAGCAATAAACCAGTGTGTTTATGGTTAAAAGAAATCAACAAGTAAATCAATAAATGAAAATGTTTTAGTGTGTAAATATTAAAAGATAAACTTGAGAATGATTTTAAACTATGAAATAAATTTACAAAAGGTAAGTTATTAAATAACTGAACACATTTTTAAAAATATTTGATATGGTACAAATATGAAATGATTACTAAGAGAAATTGCATTGAAAAAAAGCAAAATACTTGAATACAAAAAATATTTTGTTACACATTTTCAAGTATTTTGTAAAAAAAAACTTGCTTATAATTTAGAAAAGAAAAAATGACTAATGTACAAAAATGTCAAACTTGAAACACAAACATAGGGCACATTACAGGAATAACTAGTTAATATTGTTAAAGAAAATCAAAACAGTTTCACTTAATGTGCACCAATTTTCTGGAAAAGTCAAGGTTAATGCTGACATTTATTTATTTTTTCATGTTCCTCCTTTTGCCAGGTCGCTCAGACCCTGAGATCTCTGTCACAACACAGGAAGGAAATGCTATTCCACGGCGATGCTCCAACCCAGCCTCCCACTCCTCTAGTCCCCAGATGCAGAAGAAACACAGTCCTTCTTCAGCCAACACTGACAACCAAGGTGGCAGACCTCCAAGATCCCCTCACGGCCATGGTGGAGGTCTTCTAAGGGGGCAGAGGCAGACGTGGGATGGACAACCTGCCGCTGGGTCTGGGTCTCAAACCAACATCACATTACCGTCTTCTCAGAATCACATAGGTCCTGTCAGGTAAGACGGTGCTGCAGCTAATGTCAAAACACACTTTTAAAAACCTGATATTGTGTATCGTTCAACTCATTTAAGCTAAAAAAAAATATTATAAATATTATTGACAGGAAAGAGGAAAAAACTGTTTTTGTAGTCTGTTTAAAAGTAATAAAAAACATCCACAGACCACTGTTTGAAATGCAGCCTCAAACCATGACAGAGCCATCTCCAGTCTTTATTAGAGGTTAAGAATTGGTATACTGTAGATATATTTGTGCTACTGGATTTTCTTTGATGTGATTGCATATATTTCAACTGAAATTTGAACTTCTGTCCTGGAGTATATGTGAATTTATTTCTTGTTAAGGGTTAAACATACAGGCTAGAAGCATTCTTAGTTGATTTTAAAGAAAAATAACTTTTGTAAGCCTTTTGTAAAATAGAGAAAATTGTATTTTCTTTATGTTCATTTCTTTTGAATATTTTGATATCCAATACGTCATCAAATACATTTTTATAGCTGAAAAGCATTTCTTTTTATCCAATACGTCATCAAATACATTTTTCTAGCTGAAAAGCATTTTTTTTTCATATCTGTCTAAGTTCTCAGTCATCCAGATCATCTTATAACTACTTGACTACTGGATATTTTTATCACTCAATTATCACAGTAATTACAGGTGTCTAAATGAGGAAAATATTAAGAGTAAAAAATGAACACACACCTCTGTCTGTTCTTCTTCTCCAGCTCAGAGAAGACCACATCATATCGTCGCACCAGCAGCGGAGGAGGGAACCAGGGAAAATGCAGTGTGTTTTCTCCCACCTGTGTGGGCAGCCAGGAGGAGCTGTACTGCAGTTTAGTGAGTAACAGTCAGAGCCCCACTCCTGCTCCTGCTCCTGCTCCTGCTCCTGCTGCTGCTCCTGCTGCTGCTCCTTCATCTCCTGCCCTGACCCGTGCTCTTCGAATGGTAGGAGCAGACTCTTTAATTACATTCTTCAGATGTAACGCTAGTTTAACAAACACAATTCACAGAAAAGATGGTTGCTTCAATACAAACGCATTAATTAGTATTTTTCCCAGTCCTGAGTCTCAAACCTTTCCAAGTTAGTAGGAGATTTTATTGTATGTTATGAAATATGTAGCAGCTTTTTTTGCTGTACATATCGTCTGTGTTACAGTTGAATGGACTGACCTCGCCTTCTCTTCTTCAGGTTTCTGGCAGCAGGCCTCATCAGAAGCGTGTCAAGGCCCTGGTGGACTGCAGGGCAGGAAGTTCAGAACAACTGGCCTTCTTTAAAGATGAGATCATTGTAGTTACGGCCAGTAATGACCCCCACTGGTGGGTAAGTGCAACTACAACCGTAGGGATAAAAAGTGATGTGTTGAAAATTGGGCTAGTACTGTGTGTGTCTTCTTTGTTGACATTTCTGACTTTATTCCCACAGGTCGGTCACATAGAAGGTGATGCATCCAGGAGTGGGAATTTTCCAGTGAACTATGTGCACAAACTGACAGACTGAAGGACCTGAGATTGTCAAATGAAATCCTAAAAACGACCATGGATTTTAACAGACAGTGTTTAAAGGTTTTCTTTTAAAAAAAAAAGTAACCTAAGTGATTCACAGTCAGGAGACACTTTTTTGTCATTTTTCCTCTTTCCTCTCTGACCTCGGATTATTTTACTGAGGTACAGAATCATTTGTATTTAGACAGACTGTTCCAAGGACCAATGTTGAAGTTGTGTAGGATTACTAACTGGAGGCAGAACTAACCTGCAGGGCAAATATCCCTTGAGGCACTTTAGACTTTCAGCAGAGAAGGAATACTTGGCCAAAATGTATTTGTGTACTTTCACGTCAGTTGCTGAAAAAGACACAGAGCTGCTTTTTCTTTGGAGTAGAGAAAAAAACCTGCCTGGTGTTTTTTTGTTGTTGTTGTTTTTTTCTCAATCGCACCGTCCTCAGAGACTGGTTGTGAGGTTCAAACCTGCGAGAGTGGCTTTGTGTCTGCTAGGCTGTCTGCGGCACGCGCCAGACAGGCGTCTGGGCAGGGAAATATTAGCTCCACCACCTTGACTCCGGACAACGCTCGCTGTCTGCACAATGAGAGGATCCAGTTTCTCCTTGCTCCAGTGATTCATCTGAGGAACAACAGCGGGAAAAAAGAGGAGAAACATTTTCTGCTCCACCAGGAAAAGGCACTTAATGCGTCATTGACCCAAACACACCTGCACCTACTGTACGGACAGAACAGCTCAGAGGAGCCAGAAACTCTGCAGAAGGAACGGTGTGAAAGGCGTGGCTACACCTTTTTTTTCTCCAACATTTCATAGAAGTTCTTTCTTCCTTGTTGTACATATTTGTCTTAAAAGTGATGTTTACAATGTAAACCTTATGTTTTCATTAAAATGTTCTGAGTTATTAACACTTCTGTCCCAATAATAGTGTTGTGCTGTATTTTTGCTAATGGGAAGTTTGTAATTTTAAAACAACACAGAGGTTATGGTATCATGTAGTACAAATTAGTATTTTTCTGTCAAACGTATTACTCAATATACTGTATATGTGTATGCCATATTTTGATACATAAACAACAAAACGAAAATATGTATTTGCACCACACCAATAACAAAAGAATGGGATACATTTTAGGTTAAAATTAATTTGAGGAAATTCACAAATACTGATTCTTTTCTAAATCTAAACAGGTCGCATGTAAATTCTCTTCCTACACAGCAGGGGGTGCTGTAATTGCATTTAAAATCCTACACAGCAGGGGGTGCTGTAATTGTATTTAAAAGTTGCACTTAAAAAAAAAAAAAAAGTTTTTAGTTAAAAAAAAAAAAAAAAAAGTAAAACCTTTAGTACCTACTACTAGACATCGCCTACAAACCAGGCTAATTTCTAAATAGTTTTTTGAGTCAGAACTAGAATCAGATCAGTATAAAACCACATTCCAAGAATTTTTTTTCTATTTTTGTATTTTTCAGTCTATCTCTCTCAGGTTTAAAAAAAGAATAAATAAAAGGAAAATGTGTAAACCTCACACTTATTTTTCATCAGCAAAAATTTGTTAGGAACCACAGAGCATGTTGCTTACAAACCTGTAGAGGGTGCTATGAATGCAGTTTCAATGATTTGGCAATGGGCTCAATAATGCAAAAAATGATCATATAGGTGTCCTGGTGTTTAGTTAAATTATAAATAAAAACACATAATACAAGTAATAAAAGGTGTGGAGACGAGTGAATGTCCAAAGAATATAAAAAATGATAGACCACAACAAGTCTCTGTAATGTTTTTGGCTACATTTTCAGACACTCTTCAGGTAAATCCTCTCCATCTGTCTTGAATGTTTTCCCTGTCGTTCCTGCCTCATTAATTGTCTTCTGTCTGGACGACTCTCCGTCTCAAACATCTCTGTCCCAAAGCCAGGATGATGAAATTCCGAACTCGGATTACATAAACCTATTCTCTGTCTGCTGTGTAATCCATACCACCACAGTTACACACACTCTTCAAATGGATGGATAAGATATGTGAATGCATTCACAAATCTGTACAAATATAGTTTTTATGTAAAGCACAAATAGTGGGATATGTATTAAAGTAATCCCGGATCTGCATACTAAAGGCCGCACTAATGCCGAGGCTTCTGTCATTCCACAGTGGAGCGGGAGTGCGACCTGGTTCCATTATTGGCTTTCTCTCCTTCATAAGTGCAGCGACGTTGTACAAATCACAGCCAGAAATATGTGAAAATAACCGGATGTTCAGAGTTCCACAGATACTGAGGTCAGACTGAAGCCCATCTACATTTGTGATGCTTTCATTAAGAGAAAGGCAGCAGAAAGCATCAGCTTTAATGCAGTGCCACAAATCCCAACAGTCAGTAATGAGCACTTAGTACTGGGTTATACAAACAGTTTCCCAGTAATTCTGTTCCTTTTCATGGGAGCCTTGTTATCTAACCTCACTTTAACAAATGGACAAATATACAGTTCTACATTACACTGTAACATGTAGAAACCTCTTACAGACACTTAGTCTGACTAATGGCACTACACCAGGGCGGTTGAAAATTAGAATGGTGGGCCGGTTCAATTGGTTCCATGTAGAATGCAGGGCCCAATAATTTAAATAAAATGTACAAGAATACATGTGAATTTCAAAGATAATTTGGTCATTTTGATCTCTGCTGCCATTTAGTGGAAATAATAGAAATTACACTGATTGATTGTAATGTTACCTGGGTGAACTGGTAACAGGTTTGGGAGTCAGGGTTTGAGAATCAAGGCCCCTGCTGCTGTGAAGGTCATATGTAGCTAAATGGGGGCTGAGTATTTTATATGTGACAGAAACAAGAAAGGGAGAAGAAATACATTGACTTCAACGTTCAAATCATTTTAGTAAATTTTATTCTTATATTTCTACTTAATTTACAAAACTCAATATGAAGTGAATCCTGTAAATATTTCCTGTTGTTGTACATAGTAGTTCTGTGCTGGAGTCATTCATAAACGTCTGTAGCAGTGATCTCCCCTCTGCTGTCACAACTTTGACGATTGAATCAAGCAGAACGTACATTCTGTCACTGCAGAAACAGGAGGTTTGGAGACAAATAACTCCCAGGTCACATGATTTGAAAGGACATTTATGGATTTTCTTTGGTGTGAAAAAAAGATTTTGCAATTTGCAAAAAATAAAAAAAAGAAGCAAATTTCACTGAAGGTTAATTGAATCCAAACCTGCTGCAGTTGTGAAGCGTTAAACTTATTTCTTAGACATTCATACAGTCCTAAAGTTTAAATATTATTTTACTTTTAATAAAGATAAGAAGATAACATTCTGTGCTTAGTCCACCAAAAAATAACATCACAGAGAAACACAAATACTAACATACTTTAAAGTTTGAATAAATACCAGAGAAATGGGTTTGGACCTGTGGTTTACCAGCATTTGTGTAAATAATTAATAATGATAATGTTTGTTGAAAATTTAGACACAAGTTGTAACAGTGCAAAAAAAAAACCCTAAAATTTAAAAGTAAACACATGGATTGTTAAAAGAAATAAGTTATAATTGTGATCTAGATAAAGATAAAAATAAAATGTCCAATGGTGATTTGTAAAATAAATCAGAAAAAAACAAATATAAAAAAATTACCAGGTAAGAAAAAACAAAATTTCTGAGATAAAATAATGAAAATCTAAATCAAAATTAAATTACTAAATAACAAAACAGATAATAGCCTAGAGCTATGGAGACCTAAAAACAAAAAGTAACAAAACAGATAATAGCCTAGAGCTATAGAGACCTAAAAACAAAAAGTAAAAAAAAAGGTTTTTATGTTGAAAATACAGGATAAAAAAGTGTTAGTCCAAAAAAAAAATTAAATGACCTATGAGGTCGAATAGCTTATGTTGAAAATACAGGATAAAAAAGTATTAGTCCAAAAAAAAACAAGCATCAAATTCATAATTCTGAGAAAATTTGTATCTAAAATTTGATGTTCCAGCTTATAGTTTTGTACATATGTTTTTACAAACATCCATGGGATCATGGCCAAACCACAGGTTCAAATGTGATTATATTTTAGAATTATTCTACAGAAAAAAAAAATCCACAAAAAGTTGAGAAACATTACATTCATTCTGCAAGTGAGCCCATAAATCTTTGGGGGAAAAAATAATTTTTCATTTGTCACTTATAGAAAACTTAAAAAATTAACATTTTTTTAAAAAGTGTTCTATATCGTACGGAGTGGATAATGACGTTTGTAGATGAAGGCTATGGTTTTGACCCTCGTCACTGGAATAATCACTATCACTGCTGCAGATGGACAAACATTACATAAGGCATATTAAAAAGCAACATTTACTCCAGCTCTATATTCACATTCCCTCTGTACATGATTAAGGCCATGTCAGCACTTTGTTGTCAATGACGTAACGTTGTTCGGTGAGTGCAGAGAGAACAGTGGACGTCAGCATCGAACTGTGAATTCAATATGGCAATAATGACTCTCTTGTTCTCTAACATTGGCTGTGATTAAAGGGATGAATTCAGCAAATAAATACTGTGCAGTCAGAGCAGCCAGTCTAGAAGCATTTCAAACATTTAAAAGACAAACACCCTGAATATTCTGTAAATTCAAACACAGGAAATACAGCAGCAAACACTAATCATCACTTTGTCCTTTTTGATTCCCACGGTTTTTCCAGGTCCTTAAACTCAACTATTTTGATGTTGATATATCCCCATGATCGACTGTGAAATTTCCGACCTACAACCTCCACGTCAAATGTACTTTAGTACTGCCTTCTACTCCTAATGAGCACTCAAAGTACTACATACATAGTGCTGTGATGGTGACAAAAAATCACCAAGTCTGGAACTGATCCAGAGACAACTGCGCCACCTACTGAGCCTCAACCACCATCAATGTTAAACAACTTGGTCCAAATCCCAGCATCAAATTCTCCTACCATATAAATTTAACTGAATCTCCATTTTGTCCTGAATTTTAGGATTCAAACTAGCAGCCAAAAGGTTAGGCATACGGCCCATAAAATGACCTCCAATAGTTTATCACTTACTAATAATTTACATTAAGACCAAGCTTGATGATGGGCTAACTCGGTTAAGATAAACTGACGAACCAGTACAGACAAATACATGTGATGCTTTTACTGTCCCAAGAAAAGTTGGATTGTCCCGTATACACCATATTTAGTAGGCATCAGTTGAAGACAAGTAAAAATGACAAATCCTACCATAAACAATAACCACAGCACTGGTCAGTGAAACTTTCAGTAAAGTTTTTGACCTCTAGTTCAATAAATTTCAACTCACAAACACTTTAAAATATCTCGGTAAAAGACTAAGTACCAGAGTGACAAACAGTGGCTTAAAAAGTACCACACATCATGCATTTTCCTTCATTGGAGTAGCACTGATCCACAGCTGCTGCTGCTGTTTAACTATAGAATGTCCAGAACCTCATTCTCTGCTGCCTTCAGTCCTACTACTGCATAAAATACCTTTATGAACGATTAAAAAACCAAACCAACTGAAGAAACGCAACCTGTTTTTATCAATTTTGATCTTTAAATTTAAAAAACCTTCATTGACTTGCATCATAAATGTAATCTCATCTCGACTGTGGCCTGATTTGAGAACATCGTTATTCTCCTCATCTCGGCTGCTGCAGTCACACACTGCACTGTATTCCCATTACGCCCGTCTTTGCAGCTGGGGAGCAATTAACATTAGAAAATCCAAGTGCGGGGGAGCCTTCAGTGAGCACTAACACGTTCAGAACATAAATCTGTCTTGTAAACAGCCTCTTCTCTTTGTTCAGGGAAGAACTCACAAATACAATTAGGGTTTTATGCACATAAGGAAAACTCCCTGCGCCTCAGAGAAGAAGCCAATACGGTCTCACATTTCCATCCTGCGTTTTTTTCTTCCAAGGGAACGCTGCACCAAGACGGAACGCCTGTCTGTCTGCAATAACCTTTGAAACCCAAAAATAGATTGTTCCCTCGCTGCGCCTCTGTTTCTCGCTCTATACACACACACACCAGGGATCAATAGGATAGATGGATACTACAGATTCTACTGTGATACTCATTCCTGATCTGAGGAGATGAGGAAAATCAGGAAGGAATTAAAAAGAAAATTACAATTATGACAAGAATTAGTGGAAATTAAGACATGGTCTGTGTAACATTTCTGTGTCTGGAGATTTTGTGATTGAAACGAGGCCACTGCTGCCATTGTCACACCATCAGTGCTTGATGTTCAAAAACAAAATGAAAAAGTTGTTTGTGTTAAATACTATAAATACCAGATTAGACAACAACACAAACAGGTGTAATTCCTTTTTTTGCAGTTTGTAAATCACCCAAAAGAAATACATTGAAAATTTTTCGCAAGGGCCATAGTTTGCGGGTAGGAAGTGGCCCCCAGGCCAGGGGTCTGAAAACCCTGCTTTAAACAAATAGAACAATGTGTTAGACAGTGTCTATATTTTTAAATTCTAGACCTGAACCCATCCTTTAACCATTATTTTTCACACACACACTCCTGTTGAGGCAACAGCCACAAAGTCTCCATTTAAATCCAGTCTCCAACCTCAGCTTTCTACAACTGTCAAGTTCCACAGCTTGGCTGGACGTATTTCATATGGTTGTGCTGCCATTTTTGGACAGATTAATTGTTGGTTGCTAGGTAACAGGATGAAAGGAGGTCACAGGTGGAGTTGTCCCAGAGTGAACTGCTCTCCTTTCTTTGTTGCACGTTGAGAAAAACAGAAGACAATAGAGATAGACTGCTAGACGAAGACTGTCCACTGACTTTGATAAATGAGTCCTTTTGAAATGATTTAACCGTGGGAGAAAAAAAAAGTCAAAATCAAAATCCAAGCCATTTTTCCTGGATCACTGACACATTAGGCTGCGTAGCAAACATATGTTCTACATTTTGTCCTTTGCAGCGACTTGTGCTAATTTTTGTATAGACACAACCTGTAGTTTAGCCGAGAGGCGTAGGTAGTACGACATTCGCAGGAGGCTCGACCTAACAGTGAGATCCACATTAGTGCATTCACATTAGAGAAACTGTAGAGTTAGTCTGACAAAAAACAGACTAAAGTTCAGAGTAAATGTGAGATACGATATCTGTACTGAGTAGATGCTAAACATAAATAACTGTGTCCCCTGCATGTGTCATGTGCTGTACTATTTTGCTGCCTTTGAAGCACAAACTTGGTTTTCATTTGTTTTTTAATAATGGCAAATTAACAACATCAAACTTGTTTGTTTGTTTTTTCTCGCTGTTTTTTTTAAAGACAACCTAAATTTTTGTGACGCCTTGACAACTTACGAGGTTAATGGAATGCAGTGGTAAACCAGAAGTAGCATTAGCACCATTGCTAACCATTTGGACAAGCAAAATATCAAACATTCTGCCTGTCTGCTCTGAAATCTCAACATAACTCAACAGAATAAACAGCATGGATCCCACTTTAGAAACAATTAGAATGAACTGCACCTGCAAAGTATGCACAGATTTGTTTCAAGCTAACCTGTTGACAAGTAGCATGTACTGTTTTCTGCCCAAAGCTACCTGTCAAAAAGAGGTATATCGCCATCTGTTGGAGCAGATTTGCACGTACAATAGTGAACAAATCAATTACCTTTCAGTGCTTGTACACAACCGTAGCTTGATGCAGTTACAATACTGTCATAACTGAATTTACACGTATATTTAAATGCAGATTACAATTGAAAAATTAAACAAAGCTAACCTGAATGTTAATATCCAGCCCTCATAAAACTAATTCAACTAACTTTAACTAATTTGTGGGTCAGGTTCCAAATTTGACACATACACTGACACATTACTATTTCATTTTTGCATTTTTTTCTTGTCCTCTACTTCTTCCTGTTGTTTTGTTTCTTATATTCATCCGTAGCCAATGGCTTCAATATCGACATATTTTCAATTTTAAGTCCAACACTACTCTACTCAGCAGAAGCAACATGTCTACATGAAAACAACGAAAGAATAAGGACATGCTGTACACATTCCACTGATGTCGGCATCCGAAGTTCAGGAGCCGGAGAATTTACTTTGATTTCCACCAAACAGGAAGCTCCCTCCTCCCATCTGTGGTCACTGTAGGCACTCGAAGACGATGAGGACCAGCCCCAGGATTAAATAGAACTGTGGAATCTGGAGAGCAGCGGTGTCAATGTGGGGCAGCTAAACAATAAACGGCGTCCCATTCTCTTAGTGTGCTATTTGAGTTTCACGGGCCAAGGGAGGCATGTGCGGAGTCCGAGCATGGAGGAGAAGACAATGGTTGGACGATGTTTTTTGAACTTCAGGCCTTTCTTCAAGCGTTGGCTGTTCTCAGACACGTACAACTCCCCCTGTTGGGCTCCAGTAGATATCCTAGACACCAGCTCCCCATGAACCAGCACCTCCTGTTCTGAACGCACAAACACCTCCCTGAGCTCCTCCAGGCGCCGTTCCATCTCTCTAATGACTTTCTGGCGCTCCTCCACCTCTAGTAGACGCCGTCGAGCTGCCTCAAACTCCATGCTGGAGCTGGGGGTGACCAGCTTGGAGGTGGGGGCTGTGGCTGAGGTAGATTGGGGCTCAGACCTGGCGAGCAGAGCCCCTGTCACCCTCCTGAAGTCGCCCATGGAAATGGAGCGTCTTGTGGCCGGAGAGGCCAGAGCCAGGAGAGCAGAGGCAGACGTAGAGCTGGGCATGGATAATGGAGGAAGAGAAGGAGAGGAGGAGGAGGAGGATGAAGGTGATTCAGGTGGCTGCAGATCCGGATGAGGGTCAATGTTTGTAATAGCTGCTGCCGTGATCTCATTGGTGTCCTCACTGAAGTCCGAGTCCCTCTGTTGTCCCTCCATGGTCACTGTACTTCTCCTCCTGCTGCTGCTGCTGCTGCTGCTGATGGTTGTTTTCCCTCCGTCTTCCTGAACCTCAGCTGTGGAGACAGTGTAGCGGTGTGGCGCCGTGAGACAGCCTGGGAAGTGCTCCATTCATTAATAAGACATCCGAGCCAGGCTTGTGCTCTCTGTGCATCTGAGCGGTTGTGCTGGGGAGGAGCTTGCTGACAGCTCATTGGCTGCTGAAGTCACAGGAATATGAGCTGATGATTGGGCAATTCTGCCTCCGTGCTGCTGATGCTGGCAGCCTGTCGTGTCCTCTGCTCAACTGTTTTGCTTTTTTCCACAGTCATCATCATCTGGAGCTTTGCTTTGATCAGCTCTGATCAGTCAAGCCCAGCAGAGTCAAACATGAGGTGCCGACGTGTTAGATCTCATCGCCCGCTTCGCTGATGTTATTTAGCTTCAATTTTGTCCTCTGGGCCTCGGTGCTGTTGTTTCTCTTTTTTTCTCCCTCTTTCTCCCTTTTTATTGCTCTGTTGCCACGAGCAACGGACAGCCTCAACATAAGACGGCATCTGGAGGTGGTTTTGACTCACTGTCTTCACCTAGCTGCTCCAAATAATGAACATTTTTGTGTTTTTTTTAAACATTTTCACTAGTCTTTGGACCCTGAGAGAAGAAACACTGACATAACTGAATATGTGTGTTTAACTGCTCACAGATCAACAGTGTCAGGATCAGGATTTGTCATATACAGTATGTATATAACAAGTCACAAATAACATTTATAGTTTCTTCCATTCTTCATCTTCCTCTTCCTCTTCTTCCAATTGATGGGGTGTGCTGCATAACCCTCATTTTCACCCAAGTCATGTAACACATGTTTGGCCTGTTTATGTGAAGTGTATAAGGCACTTCATTCTGTCTATAGGGATTTTACTAGGCACCAAATATCCTCAGAATCTCTTATCCTTTTGTAGGGAAGCTTATGGCTGACGGTACATATATATTTGTCAGTAACCTCAGTAATACTTTGTTCTTATTGTTATTTCTTCTCTGCTGCTATGACCTGCAAATGTTCCCACTGCAGGAGAATTAAAGGTTCTAAATGATTGTTCCGTTCCTCATTTCCTCCTTCTCTGCCTTCATAAATCTCCTCCGGAGTCTTTTTCTCTCCTCCTTCCTGCCAGCCTAATCTTCAACATCCTTTGTCTCATTTCTCATCTGCCTCAGTTCAGCACATGTCTGAAGCATTTTCAGGAGAATAGAAGAAGGAAAAACAAATCACTTCCAACAGTTTGGAATTCAGTAGCTACTGAGAAGTGGGGGATCAAATTTGGAATTCAGTAGCTACTGAGAAGTGGCTACTGAAGATCAAATAAAAAAAAATAGAAATAACAAATAATGGTTTTAGGTACAAAAATGTAACAAAAATGAAATCAAACATCTTCATATTTGCTACTCTTTTTTGCAGCTACCTGAATGTAGAAGATACTTTAAAATCATTACTCTAAAATGGGCACAAAGAGCTGAATTTCCATCTAGTCTCACAGTCTCTCCTGCAAAAAAAATTGATATTCATGTCAAAATGCAGCAATGTTTCCATTTTCAGTAATATTTGACTATATAAATTTCCTTCTGCGTTCATTTTTCCTGTGATGTGTGTTTTTTGTTTTTCTCAGAGTCTGATCTTAACATCTTGGCTTCAAAGCCAGTCGATATTTGTCTAGACGCAGAGGATCAGGTTGGACTGTAAGTGGAGCAGAGATTACAGCAATCACAGGAGAAAATTCAATCACGTCAACAAGATGAAGCTTATCAGATCAGTCCTGTCAAAACTGATGGAGATTGGTCGTTATTTCTGTAACAAAATTTGCAGGGAGGAGGATAAAAGCTGTGCTGCTGCTCATCTTCTGCACACCAGCCGTGCTATAAAGACTTTGTCTTTTTTTCTCATTGCTTTCATTCTTGTTCTTCAATTCAGTTCACAGAACTGTTGGGAAACTGAATGAAATCTGAGGGAAAAAAAGAAAAACATAGGTTGAAAATATACTTCAAAAATAGCTATAGATTAGCAGAATGAAAATTTAAAAAAAATTACATATAACAAATATATAACAAATAACTTTTAAGCAAAAAAATCCGGGGCTAACATAAAATTTAACAAAATCTAACAAAATTTAAGATATGTTTGCAGTCATATCTTAAATTTTGCAATTTTAAAGAATGTTATCAATAAAATATCACAATTGGTGCAAGTTAGCCAAAACTGCCAAAAGCGACATGAAGAACAGTAGCCAACTCAAACGAGCCACATGGTAGTCATACTGGAGATTCAATGTAGCCAACAGATGGCAAAATCCAAAGCTGAATAAAGATAGCCATTAGACAAAATGGCTACCACAGCAAGGAGAGGGATGAACTTAATAGTAAACAAAACGAAATTTGCCAGTATTATAACATACAAAGATACAATTTCAGATAAAGGTTATTCACAAACATAGCTAGAAAAACACATTTGTTGTTATCATTTTTCACTTATCTGAATGAATTACAGTTGAGGATTTAGTCAACATCAGATTATCACAGTAACCAGTAGATAAATGACATGTACAGAGCACACTGGCCTCAGTGCTAACTCAACAGAACCCTAACCCTGCCTATGTCCATAAACTCACCACCACCACAACAAAACACACAGACTCAGCCTCTTAGCATCATAAGAGTAGTAAATTAGAGTAGTCTCTACTAAATTATTCACAACTGGACTCTGGAAGCTTCTTTATAGATCAGAACCTGGCGATTTCAACGTTCATCACATGCAGCTTTATTGACAGGAGGAGACAGATCCTGGAGGCAAGGACAGACAGAGAGAGATAATGAAGACGTTTTTCCCTGTGTTCTAATCAATATATATAGTCTCTCTGCTGCCGCAGCTGAGTCAGTGTGTGGGAGTGTGTGTGTGTGAGAGAGAGAGAGCGAGCGAGAGAAAGAACAGGAAGTCATTCATTGCAGTGTGAATTACCGGTAGAGTAACGTTACACACCTGACCTGAACCACTGGAGAACATATCGTGTAGGTGTGTGTACGTGTTACGTGTGTGTGAGCTGAGTATAAATAGGTAAAGGCCGCCTTTTTCCGCAGACATGATGGAGTATGCTGCAGCATATTTTCAGCATGTCCGTGGAATATAAATGCAGCAGCAGCGGTCGTTGTGTCAGTGTTACGTAAGTAAATGCTGCTGTGGGGAAGAGTATAGTACTGCTGTAGTACACAGTACCGCTGTAGTACACAGTACCGCTGTAGTACATAGTGCCGCTGTAGTACATAGTACACGATGCTACAGTGTTCACACGCAGGGTTAAAGAGAGGAAGACCAATAACCATTTTATTACCAGAACCAGTTTGAACGGATAATAAGTAGCTATTAAAATATAATTTAATAAATCATATACAGTATAAGTTAGTCATATTCGTTTGCAAGCGCGTTTAATTATTAGGAATGGCAACGTTAATTTCAACATAGCGTACTCAATACAGTAGGTGGCAGAAGAAGAGCACAAAGGAAACTGAGTTGCAGAAAAAGAAAAGAAAATTGGTAGCGTTAAAGGAGAGCACAAAGGAAACTGAGTTGCAGAAAATTGGTAGCGTTAAAGGAAAGAGAGATTTTCCAGCTGTATATTATTTTTTTTTGTTTCAGTTTCTACAGCAATAGGGGCGAAAACGTATTCGTTTCAACTGGTGGTCCTCTCTACCCTCGGATTAACCCCCGACTACGCTTTTTAAAAAGGTGTATTTTTTTGTTTTAGCAAGTGGAGAGTCACAAAATATTGTGTACGTTTGCTTTTAGTTGCACATGTAATTAGTCAAATATGTAACCGGCATACAAATACATTTACAATATTAAAATCTAAATAAGCATTTGTTAACAATATTAACTGGTACGTTCCAATGTTTTTATTAATACTTGACAAACGAATAAACAAAAGGTAATTTATGGTTCAGACTCGGTACTGAGCCTTGATTTAGCTGTTGACACGCTTGTACTTTATCTCCATCCAGTGGCCAGACGTGGAAAGCACACCAGGGTGTTAGACCGCAAGAGGTATAGCTGAAGGTCAGATGCTCTAGAACAATGTGTTCTCTCTTGAACAGTGCTGATTCTCACCATTGTGGTTCCGTGGATGGGACCGACCATTATACAGTTGATAAAACCAGAGAGTGAAGATCCAATCAGAACATGGGCTCCATTAATTTGACTTAAATTAGTGACAACTGGTAACTATTTGTAACTGGTATCACAAAATGTTATTTATGGATTTTTAATAGAGGAAACTACAGAAATAAGGTGTAAATGTGCCATTAGGTCCAGTTTCTATTGAGCTGTCATTGCTAAAAGTGTAAGCATTCTGCTTTTCAAACAATGCATCGAGATGTTTTTTTCAGCTAGCTTTCCACAAGTAGTTGCTGTTGCTATTTTTTTTTTTTTTTGAGTTGATTAATCAGAAGAGAATTATTTTGGTCAATAAAATGTAGGAAAACATGTTTTCATTCAGTACTTTAGCCTAAGGTTGTAGAAAACCAACCAGAACAGATTCATTTTTTGCTTGATTAGTCATTGCAAAAAATGATTATTCAGTGTTTTGGATTATTACATTCAAGACATCACACAATGAAATGTATAATGAATTGTCAGTAAGAGTAAGTTCCAGGAAACAGCTGAACAATGAAGTGTGAGAACGAGGCCAGGGTGCTGAGTCTGAAGGTTTCACAGTGTATAAAACCACCAGCACTCTGCTGACTCAATCCCCCTCTGACGTTGACGTCAGCACAAGAACAGTGAGCTGGGAGCGTCACGGCCCTGGTCCTTACAGTCGAGTTGGGCTTACGACACCAAGCACAGAGGCTGCCGTTGTACGGTGGTGGTGCAGTCACGAGTCACAATTGACTATTTGTCAGTTTGATGGATGAGTCTGGGCCTCGAAAAATGTCAGGAAGATGTCACTGTGCCAGCTCTAAGTATGGCAAAGAGGAAGCGTAATGACATGGGCTCAGTGTTCTGAAAATCTAATTGGCTGCTTAGTTCCATGTGGACTACTTTCAATAGTTTACTTTGACATTTAGGACAATTTTATTTTTCCAGTTTGTTAGGATTTTTTTTGTCATAACAGGGCACTAGTCCAGACCCAGAAGACCATAGTATAGAGTACATACATACACATGCACAAAGAATTCTAAGACATATGCATGTATGAATGTCTATATATAGTAGTATATTAGCAGAAAACTGCTCTCTCAGTCAAAATAAGGACTAAAAATTGTCCACTGTATGTAGGACTTGCACCTCATCACAAAACTGTCAGAACCATCAGCCAATCACAAGAGATAACAATTTAAAAAAGTGTAGCGCTAACGCTTTGGATATATTTTATTCATAACTAAAACAGAATCATAGAGACGTTTGTTGTAGCAATGGAATTTTTTAATATTTGTAAGATATAAAAATCTTTGTTTTTATCATACAATAACATCTTACCATAAATTTAGTCAAAGCAGGAAGAGTTTTTGCCACCAAACAATAATTAGACTATAAGTTTGATCCCCATGTGAGGTAAGACAGCTGGTTCATAAATCATTAATAGCCACAGTACAGGTCTTCTCTTCCACTCCTACAGCAACTTTTTGCTTGTTTTCAGATCCTGTAATGTAAGACATTCTCAACTCAACGAGTTCAGCACGGGAACTTACTCTGTGAAGTTTCCTTACAGTGATGGACATTTTCCCAACTGAGTGTGTAGAAAACCAGTGTTAAAGCGACAGAAATTGAAAGATTATGAAGGACAACAGATTAACATAGGGCTGTTTAAGATGCTCAATACTGAGTGAAGGTCTTCAGCGATAATAACCAGTGACTTGACACATAATTTAAATAGGGGAGAGCTTTATAGGAGAGTTAGGGTCGAACTCAACACCAGCTGCTCTGTTGTAAGAGGTCTTATCTGTTGTATGCACTGTCATGATGAATAGGTAGGAAGACATTCGGTTGTTCTAGTAGTAAATGAGCAAGGAAGAAGCAAGACTGTGTTTGTCATTTCCTCACTTTCAAAATATCATTACAAGTGTAATAAAACATGAACCACATCCCAAGGAAAAACTAGTATGTCTTTATATTTTAGAAATGATCATAGACTGGATATAAAAGGTGGGTCTCCTCTCTAAGTCATTTTTGAAGGCAGAATCATTTTGTTTTGGCTGTAATACTACTAAAAGCCAGCAGGGGGCTCTAAAGAATCTCTGCCTGCCACATACATCAAGTCAAACATTACAACTTCTCAAGTTTTTACTCCAACAGAAGAAAGAAATTAAATAAATGTCTTATTTTAATAACAGACCTTGGTGTGGAAAACTGGAATAGTTGGAAACTGAAGGCTTGCAATTTGGTAGTTTACTTATAAATACATTTTGCAAATATTTTATTATATGTGCAGAATTGTATCTAATTAGGAAGTTTTACATGTTGAATTGCACTAGAAACAATATTTTTGTGAATTCATCACATGTCCCCTTACTCATTCACGAGGGCAGCCGTCTCAGACCTCAAAGTACTGAGCCTAATAATGAAATCCACCAGAATTCTCCTTTAAGTCCGAAGACTGACGTGTGCACAGCATGTCTATTCGATATTTTAAACCACTATTTTTTTTTCTGGACAAAAAAAGAGAGAAAAAACTAACAGAAAAACCCCAAAACAATCAACAACAAAAGCAGTCAACACATGAAACAGCATCTACTATGCATTATCCAAGAAACACAGTGGGGAAAAAGAAGAGAAAATATAGAAGTCTAACATGCCACACTGTTCCTGGGCTGAGTTTTCTTTCACAGAAAGCCACCTGTTTTTTTTTTTTAAACCGTTTTTTCAGTTATAATAAAAATAAACAGACATCTCAAGCAGCTGCCAGCAGGAGAATCAAGCAGAGAGAAGAAGCCACACGACATCATCACGTCAGCAGAACATGCACATGACCCTGCAGCGTCCTGCTGCATGTCTCACTCACACAAACACACAGACACAGACACACACACACACAACACACACACACACAGACAGACAGCCATGCAACCTTTGAAAAAAAAAAAATATCCTGCTTCCGACATTTCCCAGAATCCCTGTTTTCTGGCTGTACCAAAGCCAACGAGGCATTTATGGCAATTTATTTTTTATCATTTTGTATCATAATAATATTCATATTCATAAATATAATGCTCCTTTAAAGACATAAACAACAGCAGCTGGACATCACTGAGGCAAACGTTGGTGCTGGCTGCAGCAGCAGGACGGCTGGCCATCAATATAATGCTCATAATCAAGCTTTTAAAAAAAAAAAAAAAAAAAAAGATTAACAGGGAGACAAAAAAACAGCAGCGGACAGACAGGCAGACAGATGGACAGACAGGCGGAGAGACAGGCGTGCAGCAAGAAAAAAAAAAAAAAAAAAGATTAACAGGGAGACAAAAAAACAGCAGCGGACAGACAGGCAGACAGATAGACAGACAGGCGGAGAGACAGGCGTGCAGCAAGCTGAGTGACAGCAACAAGGAGAGGAGGAGAAGAAAAAGAAGAAGAAGAAGAAGAAGAAAACTTTCATTGTCACAGCACAAAACTGGCTGCATCAAGTCTGTTGGCAGAACATGCACACACACACACACACATACACACACACACTCACACAAGTACAGTCAAAAAACTAATACATCTGCCAGAAAGCTGCTCCGACTATTTTTTTTTTTTGCCCTTACACCATCCATCATCAGTTTTTTAATGTCCAAAGAGACTGACTGACTAACAGCAACTGGAACAAAGAGGAGGAGGAAGAGGAGGATGATGACTACGAGAGCAGGAGAACAGTAAATGTTCCTTGGCTGGTAGTGACGTGTACACACTGACTGACTGACTGACTGACTGACAGGGTGGTTTAAGGTGCAGTTTTGGTCAGCCTCTGGTCAGTGAGATGACTAGTTTGTTGTTTTTTTCCCCCTCAGTCTCTACAGAGAAGTAGAGGGGAGCTTCTTAACGCGCCTCTGAGCCAAGAAGGAGCTCTCGATGGGCTTCAGCTCCGGGGTGGGCTGGGAGTTCTTCAGGGCAGAGTACGTGGCTGCCATGGCACCCTGGGAAAAAACGGCAAAGAGATTAGAGCCAGAATAACAATGACATGGGCTAAGTACAACAAATGTAGCCAAATGATGCTAACATGGTGGCTGCCATGGCACCCTGGGAAAAAAATGGCAAAGAGATTAGAGCTAGAATAACAATGACATGGGCTAAGTGCTACAAATGTAGCCAAATGATGCTAACATTAATCCACTTTATTCTGTATTTCCCTTCTCAAACGCTGGCTCAGGGTCCAAATATGGCACGTGAGTTTTGAGTTTAAAATAATTTGTTGCGTTAGAGAAGATAATTAAAAGAACAATTAAATTAAAGTTTGTTGGTAATTTTTGTGTGAACATTAGCCCTATTTGGTGTTAATACTAGCTAGCTAACTTTTAGCCCTTGCTATTGTTTTCAGTTTTAGTTTCTAGCTATATTGTGATTGTATTCTTGAAAAATAACATCATTTTAGTTAAAATTTTCCAATCCTTTTTCATCACCCACTTTATGTAGAATACTTCATTTAACTTATAACATAACGTAAAATATTTGTGGCTTTTTTTTTTTTTTTTTACCACACTTCCATGTTTTACCTTGACCAGTTTGGGGTCCTGATGTGGCAGCTGACTGTTGGGAAGTTTGTCTCTCTGGACGATCCATGGATGTTTGAGGACCTGTTTGGCCGTCAGTCTCTGATGTGGATCCACATGGAGCATCTTTGATACAAGGTTCTAATGAATGAAGACATCAGTTATATATTAAAAAACTGGTTCTGAGACAGAGTCATCTGAAGAGAACTGTAGAGGTTTGTTACTTTGGCAGCCTCTGACACCGTGTCCCAGTTTCCTCCCGTCAGGCTGAAGTGTCCGTGGCCTATCCTGTTCAAGATCTCATTGGGTGTGTCCTCGGGTCCATTGGCGAAAGGAGTAAAACTGGCAAAAGTAGATGTTTGTGTTTAAATAAAGGAACAAACGGTGGCAGAAACAGAGATATAATCATTATGTTTTTACCCAGCCAGCATGGTGTAGAGTAAAACTCCCAAACTCCAGATGTCACATCCTTCATCATAGCCCTGCCGCTTCAACACCTGACACACAAGGTAAATAAAACACCAATGATGTTTGTTCAAGACTCCACCAGTAGACCAGACTCTATTGACAGTGACTGAATACGGTGCGCTCACCTCAGGTGCCACAAAGTTAGCCGTGTAGCACGGAGTCATCAGCAGGCCATTGTTAGCGCGCAGCTGCTTAGCAAAGCCAAAATCACAGATCCTGATGGACTCTGGATTCCCTGACTCGTCAACGTAGAGGATGTTGCTGGGCTTCAGGTCTCTGTGCACCACCTGCAGGACAACACAGAGATTTCTTTACAGCAATGGCCAGGAGAGGAAAGTCAACGTTTAAGACAGAGCTGGTTTCAATGAGCTTTAATTCAAAAGCTTCAAAAGGAGGAATATTTTGAGAGATGTGTGATAACTGGATCAGCGCGGTGCTGGAGCTGCTGTTGTTGTTGTTGTTCCTCACCCCCTGTGAATGCAGATACTCCACGGTCTTAGTGATGGTGTGGAGCACAGCGCTGGCCTCTCGCTCTGAGAAGAACTTCTGTTTGAGGATGCGGTCCAGCAGCTCACCTCCACGCATGAGCTCCGTCACCATGAAGACCTGCTTGCCGTTGTCATATACCTGACCACCCCCCCAAAAAACAAACAACAGATGTTTGTAAAAACAACATTTAAATACTTAATCATAATAATACCAGGGCATCACTAGTGTGTGTGTGTGTGTGTGTGTTTGTGACTCACATCCTTCAGTGTGATGATGTTAGGATGCTGTCCATATCTGAGCAGAATCTCAATCTCCTCTGAAGGGTCTGTACTGGTTTTGTCAATCATCTGTCAATCACAGGAATGACGGACACACAAAAGGCTGACTTTTTAAAAAAAATCCTTACTTTTGTATTTGTCAGCTCATAGTTTGTACTCTTCCTGTGTTCCCACCTTGACGGCGTACTCTGTGTTGGTGGCTTTGTGGATGCAGCGTTTACAGACAGAGAAGGAGCCCATGCCGATGTCTTCCTTCAACACGTAGCCATCACTGAAGAGCAGGTTCTTCCCGTGTAACTGCTGCAGAGCAGGAGCGGAAAAATGTTCAGAGAGATGTGAGTGAAGACACAACTGACAACTGGGAAAGATAATAACGACTTGGAGGATTGTGATTTTTTTTTTTCCTCCCTCAGTGTGAAATAGTCTGATGTATAACATTCTCTCCCTGCTTCTGTCAGGCGTTTGAGACAAGAGGATTGTATCTGCTCTAGGCTTCACAACAACAGCCTCAGCCTCCTACAGTATACATATAGTATACATATTTAAAAACCTCAGAGAGTATCAACACCACCAGTACTGTAGGATTTAAAATTTCTGTTTTAGAAACTGACAAGAACACAGATAAATATAATTATATGTTATAATGTTATCTTTTTTTTTTAGTCACATGATCAATAAGAAATCAGCCTCAAACTCCACGTGGTCCGTTGTCAGTAAGGCTGAATCAGGTCCAAACATAAAGCTAGATGTTATTTAGTTTGGACCCAGCCGTGTCTTTTCTCCGTCTCCTCTGTCATGTTGATACCTAAACAGCTCATTAACGTGTTCATCTGTGTTCGTGAAGAGCTGCTGCCACTGTGTCTGACCTGGACGACAGGATGTGGCGGAGGCTGCACAGGCTCCACTAAGCCTTCCTCCTCCAGCAGAGTGGAGGCGATGAAGCTGAAGCCTCTGAAGAGTTGGTGAGCTCCAGCACTGGGGGGCACGCCGGGGGAGTCTGTATCACAAGCATTCAAGGTCAAGTGATGGAATAGAAAGAACATACTGGAAGCAATATGCTCTTAAACTATGATCGTATTCAGAAATGCATCACCATAAACTCCACTTCCAGACTAATGTATGTTTTTACAGGCAAAACTATAGCTGCCTTTAAAATAGGGTCATCACCGTGTCTCTCTCTGTCTTTATAGGAAAAACACCCTGTAATAACTGCCTTTACGGAACTGTTTTCAAGGGTCAAATCTGACACCACAGACGCAGTCAAATCTCTGGCCTGGGGGCCAGTTATGGCCCTGTAGGTTTTATGTGGTCCCTGACTTTTAATGACCATCCAGTGTCATAAAAGCTTGGTAATAAACACATGCATGTTTTAATACCCTGTAAAGTACTGTAGTAATGTTTTTACTAGTGATGGTTAAAAAATCATTTTCAGTGTTGTTGAATTAATTAAAATACATAAAAAAGTTCAGGCTTTAGGGAACTAAAGGAACTAACAAAAACAATTGTTGTCGAGTGAATTAGTGGATTAAAATTAAATGTCTTCACTATTTGAGTACTACAGGACAGAGGTACTCGTGGGATAGTAATAATAATATGATACACAAAGTCAATGTGATGCATTTACAACATCCTCCGACCTTTGGGAGTGCGGGAGGTGAACTCAGAGTCAAAGTAGAAAGTGTCGTCAGGACGAGCCACTGCAGGTCTGAACGGAGGCTTCAATTCTCTCCTGAAGAGTTTCTGGAGAAAATAAAAATATTGAATGACATTCACAGACTGCTGACTGTATGACCCTGAGCACAAACATTTTTTTGTTTTCAAATATTCCCCAAGGACAGATTTTTAAGTCCAAAATGTTCTCTTTAGAGGACAGAAAACAATCTGCCCGTTTTAGCATTCATCCTTTTTCAACTAAAGCTCAAACCCAAGTGGCAGAAATGTAGCTTTAATAATTGAGTGATTAAGTTTGACTTATGCTTTACTGAGGGTTAGTTTATTGAAAACAAGAGCTAGGTACTTGCTCATGGGAGATACACACCATACTAGGGCAGTGCTAACATGCTAAATGTAAGCACATGGCTAACAAGCTGAAATATGTGCTAATGTATATCACCAACTCTTACATTCCAGTCGATGGTGGAGAAGAAACAGTGGCGTTTGATTTCCTCTGCTCCGTCAGCACCAGAGCCTGTTGGACACACATCCACATTAACTCGGTAAAATCCTAACCAAACACCAACAACGTGACATACAGTACATGACTGAATAATATAGGAGTAAATGTGTGGCCAACAGTGCCATCTGTGATGATCCTGCTCAGGAGCTGAAACTGACCCAGTCTGTTGGTGGGGTTCCTCTTAAACAGAGCCCGGAGCAGAGACTGTGCCTCAGCACTCAGGAACTGAGGCATTCCCAGACGAGCCCTGCAGGAAGAGACACCACACCATGCACCGCGTGAACTATTTCCCCCGAAATCTGTTCTGTGTTGTTTTTTTAGACTCTCCACAGAGAGATTTTAGATTTCTCCACATTTCTATACTCACTTCAAAATAAGGTTCATGGTTTCTTTGCGGTCCTTCCCTTGAAATGGCAGCGCTCCTGTTAGCATCTCAAACTGTGGGAAGAAAATATCAAGCTCACGCACAGCCAATGTTTTTATTTTCTACGCTCTACACAAACCACTCTTGGTTCCCAAAAACATCATGTATTTACAATGAAGCTCAAAAAAACTGTTAAATAAAAAGCAGACTGCTGTAAAAGAAAAAAATATATATTTACTTACCATTAGTACTCCAAATGACCACCAGTCTGCGCTGTGGATATGTCCCTGTCTATTTACAACTTCCGGTGCCATGTACTCCACAGTGCCACAGAAGGAGTAGGCCTTCTTCTCATGGTCAATGGCTTCTTTACACAGACCGAAATCTGAAAAGAAAAACACAAAGTGTCCAACAGTACTGTAGTATTCCAGGCTTCTTTGTATTTTAAAAAGCAGTAAAATAAAAAAAAAGCAGTTCTCCAGTCCAGCCTTCGTCTGAACTTCTCTTGCTGTATAAAAGTAACTTCACTACTAAAACTGCAGCAACAACTTGAATGAGTCATAATTTTACTGGGGATTTTTTCTTATCTGCAAATATCAAGAGGCTGTGGAGTGTGTGTGTGTGTGTGTGTGTGTGTGGTATATTAAAGAGACGTACGGACTCACCTGTGAGTTTGATGTGACCCTCTTCATCAAGGAGAATGCTATAGGAAAAATGTTACAGAAATGATTATTTACAGTAACTATTAAAAAATGTAGAACGCACCAGCCCAGACCAGGACATTGTTGTTGTTTATTTTGTCCCACTAAAAGTTATTTTTAGTGTAATTTAAGTAATTTTACCTATTATTTCTAGGCTAGCACTTTTATGGCTTTTTGTTTGACTTTTGTACCTGTAACTATGTCTGTAGCCAACATAGCTAAGCTAATGTAGCTCTTTAAAAAACAAACAACAAACCTTTCAATAACTTCAAGTAGACATGTTTTATTACCTTTTAGCTAATTGAAATTGTCTTTTTTTACATAAGACTTGGATAATTTAGGCTAAAACTATTTCACCTTTTTCACTTTCTTAGTACTTCTTTCAGCTCTTTTGTAAGTTAAGCTAATTTTGGGCTAATTATTGACCATTGTAGATTCTATCTCTGAGTAGCAAATGTACTATTAAATATTACAAGTTAACAGTATCTTCACTCTTTTTTAACTACTACAATCAAGTAGAGAAAATACACCTTAAACAGAAAGGCAGCATTTAAACACCATGTGAGCAATGTAGCATAAATAACCAGAAAAGCTATAATAATGTTAAATCAGGCACAATTCCATTCATGTAATTCCTTTTTAATGAAATAAACAAAACTTAATCTACTCCTGACAGTGAATAGAAACATCACCAGTGTTGGTTCATGTTTTTGGCTTCACTTATTGATCCAAAAACAACAACCGTCTCCAGAGAACATTAAAGGATAAGAATAATCTTTTGTGTGAGGATTAGAAGAATGTACTCGACCAAGAACAGTGATGATCCAGTGCCAACTTTCACTATTTCTGTCCGACTGAATAGCAGTTCTTTTAGGGTTTTTTTTTAGTTTGAAAAAGATTGTATATTTGCTCTGGTCAGCTTCAGTTTGTGTGTTTACGGCTGAGCTTTGCTTCTTACTTTTCAGGTTTCAGGTCTCTGTAAATGATGCCAAGGCTGTGAAGGTGATCCAGACCTAAGGCCAGCTCTGCCAGATAGAACTTCACATCCTCCTCTGTGAACATCACCTGAGAGGAGACACAAAGAACCAGAGGAGAGAAGATGAACCTGTGAAAACCACAGCACCACCGTGAGAATAAAACAACAACCAATCAACGCCGCTCACTTCTTTGGAGAGTCTGGTGAAGAGATCTCCTCCTCTGAGGAAATCCAGGATCAAGTACAATTTCCCTTCAGTTTGGAATGCTACACAAGTAGAATTAAAATGGAAAAAAAGTTCAAGGCATGTTGAGACATTTGACGTAAGTTTTTCGTCTTAGTTATTTTAATGTTCTTACTGACACATAAGGTGGACTCACCATAGTGCAGCTTGACAACAAACGGATGATTGACATCTGCCAGAATGTCCCTCTCCATCTTGGTCCTCACACGGTCTCTCACTGAAGGATATAGAACAAGAATTTATGTTAAGTGTGTTTTAAATTCCTGGTTGTTGTAACTGATCTTGTCTGAGCTCAACTAAAGTCAACATTCTGTTATTGACTTTTATTTGCTGTTTGTCAAATATTTTCATTTAAATGTAATTTTAACTTTGAAGGAGGTTTTCAGTTTTAGTAAATGTTGGTTGTTTTTTTTATATAAACCTTTTTAACAGGATTGTCTACTTCAGGGTTGATGTAAAGTCAGTTTTTTTCACTTTTCTGTTTACTTATATTTTTTATTGGAACAACACTTAGACTTTTCTGTTTACTTATATTTTTTATTTGAACAACACTTAGACTGCACAACATAATAAAGTTATGTACATTTTCCCCCGAGGCTTTAAAAGAAACATTTCCAGGACTTTATTTTTCCCCCGAGGCTTTAAAAGAAACATTTCAAGGACTTTATTTTTTTTAAATGTTTTTAGTCATGTTTTTGTGCAATTCTGAGCTAACGTTGTTTTTGTTTTTTTTGACTACTTCAGGGTGAGCACAACTTTGAGAAACTGTGTTTGTTATGGAAGCCATAATGGAGAATTGTTTAAAAAACATTAATTAAAGCACAAAAAAATTCATATTCAAATATTTAAACATCCCCTCTTCAGCCCCAGACCTTTTAAGATGATCCTGGCAGATACATGAAGTCTAAATACATTTTTAAGATTATTCTATATATGATGTAATGTTTGTCATTTTTACTCTTTTCATATATATACATATATATGGAACTCTATGAGAACATTTTATTGAAAATAAAGACAAGACTGCAGACCATGATTCATCTTTTTGCCGTTTCCCTGCCTGAAAATATGTAGATCACTGTCGTGGTGACACTAAAGTCAGACCGTATAAAAAAATCCAGCAGTTCGTTCCATCAAATGCTCTTTTTAAAGAAAAACAAAACTGATCTAAATCTAAACAGGTTGATTCAGGTGGGGAGACCTGATCTGTGCTGTGTCAGGCTCAGTCAAACCACCACAGCAGGGTTTCATACTGGTGTGACCAAAGTCAAACAGAGGCCACTGTTACCAAGAGATTAGCCCCGCCTACATGAAAAACACATTTCCAAAAATCTCATCATCTCAGCACAGGTGCAGTTTTGAAACCAATGATAAACAAACCTGGTCACTAGTATATTTTTAAACGGGTTAATCTGTGATTAATCTTAAATCTTGAAATGTTTGACAATTTTTTGTTCCAACATGGCTATACTTGATTCTATTTTTTCAATTGTATTTTTATTCTTGGGTTATCGGGCGTTTAAAGCCCATGCATAATCATGGTTTTGCAGAAACAAACAAACACACAGCCAGGGCATTCATTTTGATGTCTATAGCACTCCCATCGGGAGGGATGAGGAACTACAACAGGCTCTGTTTTAAGCTCCTCTCGCCTTACCTTTAAATTTAAATATATAAAAATTGTTACTGAACTGTTTTTTTTAAGTCCAAACAAAAGGCTTTTTTAACGTTGTTAAAACTTTGTTTAAAAATACAGCCCCATACATTCATGGGACGTTAAGATTGAGCTAACTTCTTAAAGATGAACTTAGCCTTGTGCTAAGTGCTAATTCACAGTATTGGTTTCTAATAGTCAGCTATAGCACAAATGCTTATGTGATTCTTCACTTTTTAATACATGGTTAACCAGTAATTGTTAATGTTTAGAAATGTTTGAAAAAGATGGTGTGGTTGTAATATTTTATTCGTTTATTTCTCTATAACTGTGACTCCAGGTAGTTTGTTGAGGAAACTGTTATGCTAACTGCTAAGCTACATACTGAACCTACATGCTGGCAATGGGCAGTGTAATAAGTGATTTCTTCACTGGTTACCTTTGAGAGTGGCCTTCTTCAGTACCTTCATGGCGTACAGTTGGTTAGCATCCGGGGCGGTCACCTTCCGCACCAGGAAAACCTGCGATTATCCCACATTAACAAATAGACAATTAGCAGCAACTTAGATTAGTATTTTCTAAATATAATGAAAATGCAAAGTCATTGATGTGAAAGAGTTTGGAAGTCTGAAAATAGGAGGGGGGAGAAAAACGAAGTAGCGTCACCTTCCCGAAAGATCCTTGTCCCAAAACTTTGAGCAGCTCAAACTGCGAAGCGTCGGCCTTCTCTGATCCTTCTTTAACCACATGGGTGATGTTGATCTCCTTGATGTCTCCATCGTCCTGAAGGGTGAGGACAAAACAGTGACAATGAGACCGGCCATTTACCAACAACATGTTATGAGGAATGTCCAAAAATGTTCAGAGACAGATGTCATCACCTTCAGAATTTTCTTTAAACCAAAAGAAAAAGGAAAGGATTCTGTGACTTAAAGAGATTTTTTTTTTTTTTTTTTTAACTTTGTCTTAAAATTTTGTTTTAAGTTTGTATTTGCAGGGACACGGTTGTATACACACAAACAGTTGAAGCGGACTTCATCTGTGGGCGCGTCTGTTGCTGTAAACAGGAGTGCATAGAAATACAGTAATGTTCAGCAGAAAGAGGAAGCACAAGATGAAAAGCAGTGTGTGTTTGTGGGTGTGTGTATGAGTCTGTATGTATTTTTTTTAACATGTTACTGGAAATTACAACCACAACTTCAAATAGCTTATACTAAGTTTATTTATGTTGCTCAATAATTTACATAGAAATACATTTCAAGGAAGTGCATATATATATATATACATATATATATATATATACGAACTTCCTTGAAATTTCTCATACTAATCATTAGTGAGAAAGAAAATAATAATTTAGAATATCAAGAATCAAATACATTTTTTTAACCTCTCTGGAACACATACACACAGGGTGGGGCCAACCTGTGTCACCCCCCGGTCACAGCACAACCACAACTTCATCAACACCCTTCAAAATCCATCAGAGTTTCA